GATTCCCAGGGTCCCATCATGTCAATGAGAGGGAGAAGAGGGGAAGACTTTGTTTCTTCTGTCTCTGTTTCTGTCTTTGTCTTTGGAAGCGCTAGAAGGCTGAGCTGGCGTACTTGTCTCTAAGGGGAGCAGTATCGAGTGAAGTCAGAAAAACTGCTTGCATAACAAAACACAAAGTGTCACACTGAAGTGTTGCAGAGGAATGTTGCTCTTTTACTGCACGTTCTCCATAAGTTTCAGCCACTCTGGAAGAGAAGAGAGGACATTCAGGAATTTCCAGAAGAAAAGACATACTGTATATTCTCACAAATCCTTGCTACGGATATTCAAACAATCACCACCTTAAAGGTAACAGACTTTGCGGAGTAAAATCTCATTTGGACAGTGTTTTAATCAAGTATACAATCTGTCAAAAAATGTAATGTACAGTACATTGTGCTTAATGTCATGTGTGCCTGAATAGCTTCAGCTACTGTTGGAAAGTAGACTTAAAGGAGAATTCTTGTGTAAATGTGTTCCTGTGTTGAGCAATGAGAGCTGTGGGATGACTGAGGGACAGTCTGTAACACACTGGTGGGGACAGAAGGAGACAGGTGTGGACTGATGCGGACAGGTGCAGACAGGTGGATAAAGTTGTGGACAGTTGTGGATAAGTGGGGATAGTTATTGACAGCTGGGGGTAGGTAGAGATAGGTGGACAGACAGGGACACATGGGGACAGGTGTGGAAAGGTGTAAAGAGGTTGGGGCAGTTTTGGATAGGCAGGGACAGGTGAGGACAGGAATGGAGAGGTGGGGACAAGTTGGTACAGGCAGGGATAGATCGGTACAGGTGTGGACAGGAGAAGACAGGTGTGGAAGGTGTAGGGACACATGGGGACAGGCAGGGACAGGTGGGGACAGAAGGGAACAGGTGTGGACAGTTGTGGATAAGCTGTAGTTGTTGGCAGCTGGAGACAGGTGTGGACAGGTAGGGACAGGTGGGGCCAGGTAGGGACTGGTGGGGATAAGTACAAACAGATGGGGACAGGTATGGACAGTTAGGGACACATGGGGACAGGTAGGAACACATGGGAACGTGTGGACAGATGGAGACAGGTTGGTACAGGTGGTCGCTCTTCTTACCATCAAAGTCGATCTTGCCATCGTTGTTCTTGTCTCCCTCGGCCATCAGCTCATCGATCTCGTCGTCTGTCACGGCCTCTCCAGAGGAACGCAAGATATCCCCAAACTCCTCCCGATCGATGTAGCCATCACCATTCCTGCAGGAGACATTGTTGACAATCATTTGAATAACAATTCCTTACTTTCACATCAGGGTGACAGAGGATCGCCCAGTGCTTCACACAAAGTCTCCAGTCACCACACTGGGACATTAGGTTAGTCAGGTCCAGGGGGGAAAGAGTGTCTCCTACTGGTCCATCAATACCACTAGCGATACCAACCTGAACTTCCCCCGGAGGTCTCCCATCCACAGGCTGATCAGGCCAGACCTTGCATAGCTTCTGAGACGTGATGCGATTAGGCTACACAGTGGTTATGCTTTAGTCACACAGGGAGGTGTGTTTCATCAGAGGACCAGGGATTGTCCAGTTTAAACAGCATCAAGCCCTTCCTGCAGAGAGGAGCACTTACCTCTTGCAGGTGAACCCCCAGATGATGCTGGTCCCCACGTACACAGGAGGGTGTACTGGGATAATGGATTATAATGATTATGGATTGGGAACTGGGGCTAGTTGTCCGAGTGTGTAGGAGTGGCACGTGTGTGGTGGCAGAGCCTGTTATGATATTAGTACTTGCTGCTGTACACTGTGTGGGTGATGTGCATGGACATAGCAACCTGAAATACTGTCGACAGTCAGGTCTGTACCTGTCAAAGATACGGAAGAACTCTGCCAGCTCCTCCTCGCTCTTCCCTTGCTGATCCTCTTTCATCTGGCGCACCATCATGACCAAGAACTCCTCAAAGTCAATGGT